TGATGTTTTTTTTCAGCATTCCTCTCTTTAATCACAAGACCAATTTGCTTTTACCCTGCCAGGCCGCTATTGGAATAAAAGGGTTCATGTTCAGCTCTCCACTTATTGGTCCTCCAAAATAAAGAGAAGACTGTCACATTAGTAGATGCTACAGTGGAATGTGTTTTAATCCATGGAAATCCAGAAAGACGCCCTGGTGAGTGGGCTGCCATTCAAGGGTTGCTCCAGGGTTATCTCCAAAGTCCTACGATTTGTCACAGAATGTTGGCTAGAGGCTTGTCTTCGTTCCCATTCCTGTCATCTTTCATGGTTTAAATATATATATATTTTTAAAATTTTATTTCATTATTTATTATTTTATCTATCTAATTTAATTTGACAGGGTCTTGCTGTGTCACTCAGGCTGGAGTGCAGTGATGCAATCATACCTCACTACAGCCTTGAACGCCTGGGCTGAAGTGATTCTCACGCATCAGCCTCTTGTTGCTGGGACTACAGGCGTGAGCCATCTGACCTGGTCCTGGTTTCATTATATTGATGATATCATGTTAACCTCTGAAGACTGCAATGTGTTACAGGAAAGTCTTATACCATTGTGCGCTCATCTACAGGAATGGGGATGGGCAATCAATCCTCAGGAAATCCAGGGACCACAGCCCGCAGTGAAATTTTTAGGAGTGATATAGTCAGGTAAGACACATTGATTATCAGGCATAGTAATTGACAAAGTCCAACACTTTGCTAAAAATATCATTCAATTTACAAAATCTCATTTAGCTTATTATTTAAGCATAGATACCCATAACAAAGAGAGTGATGGCTATGCAAAATTATACTGGGATAAAGGAGTAATAAACTGTCCTTAGGAAACCAAGTAATGTAGTCACATGATGTTTGATGCAGTTACATATAACAGGGCTTTTATAAAGAGCTTGTGCTTGCCTAACAATAGAGTATCACACAGAAGCCATAATTCCATCTTATTTACCAGTTACTTGTTCATGAGTGATATACTTCTCTTTCCATATAAACCTGAGTTGCTTGTTAGAGTAGTTGTCAAAAATTAAATTTAACCTTTTTTTTTTTTTTTAGACGGAGTCTTGCTGTGTCTCCCAGGCTAGAGTGCACTGGCACGATCTCAGCTCACTGCAACCTCTGCTTTCCAGGTTCAAGAGATTCTCCTGCCTCAGCCTCCCAAGTCGCTGGGATCACAGGCGCCCACCACCACGCCTGGCTAATTTTGTATCTTTAGTAGAGACAGGGTTTCACAATATTGGCCAGGCTGGTCTCGAACTCCTGACCTTGTGATCCTCCCGCTTTGGCCTTTTAGATCATTTGCCCATGGGATATGTCCTACCACGGTCAAAGTAATACAAGAAAGGTATATACAAAGACCAGGTGTGGTGGCTCACGCCAGTAATCCCAACACTTCATGAAACCCAGATGGGTGGATCACTTGAGGTCAGGAGTTCGAGACCAGCCTGGCCAACATGGTGAAACTCCATCTCTACTAAAAATACAAAAATTAGCCAGGCGTGGTGTTGGCCACCTGTATCCCAGCTACTTTGGAGGCTGAGGCAGGAGAATCACATGAACCTGGGAGGAGGAGGCTGCAGTGAACCGAGATCTCACCACTGCACTACAGCCTGGGCGAGAGAGCCAGACTCCGTCTCAAAAAAAAGAAAAAAATACATTAAAAATCCCTTTCAACACCACAATAAAAGTTAAATTTGGCTGTTTGAAGTGGCTCAAGCCTATAATCGTAGCACCGTGAGACTGAGGGAGAATTGTGTGAGGCTAGAAGTTGAAGAACAGCCTGGAACCACAGTCAGATCACATCTCCACAGAAAAATTTTAAAAGTTGGCAGGACATGGTGGCTCACACCTATAATCCCAGTACTTTGGGAGGCTGATATGGTTGGATCACTTGAGGCCAGGAGTTTGAGACCATCCTGGCCAACACGGTGAAACCTCATCTCTACTAAAAATACAAAAATGAGCCAGGCATGGTGACAGGTTCCTGTAATCCCAGATACTTGGGAGGCTGAGGCAGGAGAATCGCTTGAACCTAGGAGGTGGAGACTGTAGACTCCATCTTAAAAAAAAAAAAGAAAAGTTACCTGGGCATGGTGGTGTATGCTTGTAGTCCTACATATGCTAGAGGTTGAGGCGAGAGAATCACTTGAGTCCAAGAGTTAAGGATGCTGTGAGCTATGATCCCACCATTATACCCTGGCCTGAACAACAACCGTGTCTGGCCCAAAATCAGTAAATGTTTCCAAATAAAACATTGTGATATTGCAAAAAAAACTGGATGACAGGCTGGGCACAGTGGCTCATGCCAATAATCCCAGTACTTTGGGAGGCTGAGACAGGTGGACTACCTGAGGTTGGGAGTTTGAGACCAGCCTGCCCAACATGGTAAAACCCCATCTCTACTAAAAATACAAAATTAGCCAGGTGTGGTGGTGCAGGCCTATAATCCCAGCTACTCGGGAGGCTGAGGCAAGAGAATCACTTGAACCTGGGAAGTGGGGGTTGCAGTGAGCCAAGATCGTGTCATTGCACTCCAGCCTGGGCAACAAAAGCGAGACTCCGTCTCAAAAAAACAAAACGAAACAAAAACTGGATGATGAACTGCTGGGTCACGTTTTTCTGAGGAAAATTTAAAGTTCATTTATCTTAAAGGATTTTTCCTGTTTTGTTATTTGACCTTGCTTCATGAAAAAGCACTTTGGGAGGCTGAGGCGGGTGGATTACCTGAGGTCAGGAGTCCGAGACCAGCCTGACCAACACGGTGAAACCCTGTCCTTACTGAAAATAAAAAAATTAGCCTGGTGTGGTGGCGAGTGCCTGTAATCCCAGCTACTCAGGAGTTAAAAAAAAAAAAAAAAAACGATAAGGCAAAAATGGCTCTAGAAGTCCAGGAGCTGCCTCCTCTCACCACAAGGCCAAGTTTTTTGTTTGTTTTTTGAGACGGCGTTTCACTCTTGTTGCCCAGTCTGGAGTGCAATGGCGTGACCTCGGTTCACTGCAACCTCCACTTCCTGGGTTCAAGTGATTCTTCTGCCTCAGCCCCCCAAGTAGCTGGGATTACAGGCATGTGCCACTATACCCAGCTAATTTTTGCATTTTTAGTAGAGACGTTTTTCCATGTTGGTCAGGCTGGTCTCGAACTCCCGAACTCAGGCGATCTGCCCACCTCAGCCTTCCAAAGTGCTGGGATTATAGGCATGAGCCACCGCACCTGGCCACAAGGCCAAGTCTTATGCCACTGGAAAGACACATGTCATACACCTGCAGTGTGAGACAATGCTCTTCAGTGACCATGATGGATCAAGACAAAACAAGGGCACTCTGTAACCATGTCTCAGAATAGTATAGAAGAAAACATATTTCAAATTATCAAACTGAGCAGATTTTTTTCAGTAATGTGACTCATTTGTAATTCTCATATATCTCACTGTCATGTATGGCTTTTGGTCATATTTATTACGATATTACACCCTCTTTGACAACAAGTATGGTACTGGTGGTCTTTGGCAAGATGTCACTGAGAACATTATGAGTTAACTTTTGGTACAATGAGTGAATGAAAAGTTAGAATGAAAAGAGGCCAGGCAAGGTGGCTCACACCTGTAATCCCAGCACTTTGGGAGGCTGAGGCAGGTGGATCACAAGGTCAAGAATTCGAGACCATCCTGGCTAACACAGTGAAACCCCGTCTCTACTAAAAAAAATACAAAAAAATTAGCTGGGCTGGGCGCGGTGGCTCACGCCTGTAATCCCAGCACTTTGGAAGGCTGAGGTGGGCGGATCACGAGGTCAGGAGATTGAGACCACGGTGAAACCCCGTCTCTACTAAAAATACAAACAATTAGCCGGGTGCGGTGGTGGGCGCCTGTAGTCCCAGCTACTCGGGAGGCTGAGGCAGGAGAATGGCGTGAACACGGGAGGCGGAGCTTGCAGTGAGCTGAGATGGTGCCACTGCACTCCAGCCTGGGCGACAGAGCGAGACTCCGTCTCAAAAAAAAAAAAATTAGCTGGGTGTGGTGGTGGGAGCCTGTAGTCCCAGCTACTCAGGAGGCTGAGGCAGGAGAATGGCGTGAACCCAGGAGGCAGAGCTTGCCGTGAACAAAGATTGAACCACTGCACTGCAGCCTGGGCGACAGAGCAAGACTCCATCTCAAAAAAAAAAAAAAAAAAAAAAAAAAAAAAAAAAAAAAAAAAAAAAAAAAAAAAAAAGAAATGAATAGGGAGAGAGGCCCATCTGTAGGGTTGAAATCCATGTGGATTTCATCGCCACTCAGATCAGAAAATGCTTTCCCACATGGCTTACAGTCATATGGTTTTCCTCTAGTGTAAGTCCTTTTGTGAATTATACCCTCTTTGATGACAGGTATGCTACTGAGGGTTTTTGGCACAAAGTCACTCTGAAAAACCTGAGATAACTTTTAGTATTATGAACGAACAAAAAATCAGGATCAAATGTTCTAAGTATATAAGCATGAAAATTAAAATTTACATGAGGAAAAAGATGTCTGGGATTTTGTCCACTTGGTAATATTGACTCACAATGTTCAAAAAGTAATGTGGTAACATAAACTTGATCTAATGCATGATGGCACTGAGACATTTTATTACGGCTTCTCAATTAACTAAATAGAGAATAACAGCTGGGTGCAGTGGCTCATGCCTGAAATCCCAGCACTCTGGGAGGCTGAGGCAGGTGGATCACTTCAGGTCAGGAGTTCAAGACCAGTGTGGTCAATAGAGTGAGACCTCATCTCTACTAAAAATATAAAAATTAGCCAAGCGTGGCGGTGCACACCTGTAATCCCAGGCATCTTTTTCCTCAGGAGGCTGAGGCAGGAGAATTGCCTGAACCCAGAGGTGAAGCTTGCAGTGAGCCAAGATCACGCCACTGCACTCCAGCCTGGGCAACACAGCAAGACTCCATCTCAAACAACAACAACAAATAGAGAATAACATGTTAGTAGGCAGTTGCTATAAACATTTGTTTACATTGTCTGTATTTGAAGGTTCTTAGCAGATCTGAAGGCTTTCCCATATTGCTTATATTCATAGGGTTTCTCTCCAGTGTGAGTCCTTTCATGTACTTGAAGTTGTGAGGCAGATCTGTAGACTTTCCCACATTGCTTACACTCATAGGGTTTCTCTCCAGTATGAATCTTTCCTTGCATTTGAAGTTGAGTGGCAGATCTGAAGGCTTTACCACACTGCTTACATTCGTAAGGTTTCTCTCCAGTGTGAGTCCTTTCAGGATATCGAAGGCTACTGGAAGAAATGAAGGTTTTCCCACATTGCTTACATTCATAGGGTTTCTCTCCAGTGTGGGTCTTTTCATGATACTGAAATGCAGTAGAAGACATGAAGGCTTTCCCACATTGCTTACACTCATACTGTTTCTCTCCAGTGTGAGTCCTTTCGTGGTACCGAACGGAACTGAAAGAAATAAAGGCTTTTCCACATTGCTTACACTCATAGGGTTTCTCTCCAGTGTGAGTCCTTTCATGTCTACGAATGGCAGTGGAAGAAATGAAGGCTTTACCACACTGCTTACACTCATAAGGTTTCTCTCCAGTATGAATCCTTTTATGACACTGAAAGGAACCAGAAGAAGTGAAGGCTTTGCCACATTGCTTGCATTCATAGGGTTTCACTCCAGTGTGAGCCCTTTTATGTCTACGAAAGGAACCAGGCAAACCGAATGCTTTCCCACAATCCTTACATTCATGTGGCTTCTCTCCAGTGTGCACCCTTTTGTGTATATGCAAAGAAGAAAAATAATTGAATGCTTTCCCACATTCCTTACATTCATAGGGTTTCTCTCCAGTGTGTGTCCTTTCATGTACTCGAAGGATCTTGGCAGATGTGAATGCTTTGTCACACTCTTTACATTCATAGGCATTCTGTCCTCTATACATCGTTGCATGTATTTGAAAGGAAGAGAAATTGTTGAATGCTTTTCCACATTCCTTATAGGGTTTCTCTCCAGTGTGTGTCTTTTCATGAATTTGAAGGTTTCTGACAGATTCAAAGGTTTTTTCACATTGTTTAGATTCATACAGTTGCTTTCCAGTGTGAGTCCTTTCATGCATTTGAAGGTGTGAGGCAGATCTGAAGGCTTTCCCACAGTGCTTACACTCATAGGGTTTCTCTCCAGTGTGAGTCCTTTCATGATATCGGAAGGAAGTGGAAAAAATGAAGGCTTTACCACACTGCTTACATTCATAGGGTTTCTCTTGAGTGTGAGTCCTTTTATGCATTTGAAGGTGTGAGGCAGATCTGGAGGCTTTCCCACATTGCTTACAAGCATAGGGTTTCTCTCCAGTGTGAGTCCTTTCATGATATCGAAAGGAAGTGGAAGAAATGAAGGCTTTTCCACACTGCTTGCATTCATAGGGTTTCTCTCCAGTGTGAGTCCTTTCGTGATAGTGAAAGGAACTGGAACGATTAAAGGATTTACCACAGTGCGCTCATTCATAAGGTTTCTCTCCAGTGTGAGTTCTTTCATGTCTTAGAAATGAACTGGGAGAATCAAAGGCTTTTCCACATGTCTTACATTTATAAGGTCTCATTCTAGTGTGCATTTTCATGTGTCTTTGAAAGTTAAGATAAGATAATGCTTTCCCACACTGTTTACATTCATAGGGCTTTTCAGAGTGGGTCACTTCATGTCTACAAAGATACCTGGGACACTTGAATGCTTTCCCACATTTGGTACATTCATAAGGCTTTTCCTCACTGTGAGTTCTTTCATGTATTTGAAAGGAATGGAACCATCTGAAGGCTTTTCCACATTGTTTGCATTCATATGGCTTCTCTCCAGTGTGAGTTCTTTTATGTTCATAAAAGGAATTGGGACTACCAAACGCTTTCCCACATTCCTTACATTCATAAGGCTTCTCTCCAGTGTGAGTTCTTTCATGTATTTGAAGGGAATTTGAATAACTAAAGGCTTTACCACATTGTTTACATTCATATGGTTTCTCTCCAGTGTGAACTCGTTCATGTATAAGATATACTCTGAGACAAGGGCAGGCTTTCCCACAAAACTTACACTTATAAGGTCCATCTCCATTGTGCATTATCATGTGTCTTCGAATGCTTGAACGGGATATGAAGGTTTTTCCACATTCTTTACAATCATAGAGTTTTTCTCCAGTGTGAGCCTTTTCTTCCGTTTGAAAGGAGGGGTGACATCTGAAGGCTTTCTTACGTTGTTGACACTTATATGGCTTCTGTCCATATTCCTGATACTCAGATGGCTTGTGTGCAGCGTCAGCTCTAATGTGCCTATTAAGGGAAGAATGACCCAGGAAGACTTCTCCACACACACTGCTTTCACATGATTTTACTCCAGGAGAAGTTTTTTTGTTCAGTGTGTCATCTGGAATCTGGCTAAAAATTTCTCCAAAATGATTTTCTTCTGTATTTTCATCGACTCTCTCTCCCAGAAGACTTCTGTGAAAAATGAGAAGCACATTATTGAGGGTTTTTTTGTAAGTGATTTTATGTTTATTAACAAGGATTGCACTTGCATTTTCAACATTATCCAGGAAAGTGTAGGCTTTCTACCCTGTCTAAATTGTTGGAAGTTGACTGCACCATATGGCTACAAGATGGTCTATCTATACCTATTATTTTTTAAAAATCAT